AACATGAAGCCTGATCCTAGTACTATACTAGTAGGTAGGGCTTATTATGGAATAGAAGGCCCGGGAGGTCCCCCCGTGTTTAATAGCATATCTAGTTTCTGCCTGATTTGCTCTTTCTTTGCCGCGGACCAATGTGAGAAGCCCTATTAAGTGACTGATTGTGTTGAGTCGGATACCTCTTTAGAACGAAGTTTACCTCTACCTACTATAGTACTCAAATTACTTCGTTCCTTAAAAGCGCTCTCTGCTTGATCTGGCACTACTACTAAAAATTCGGGTGATAGACGAAGGCGTTGGTCCATCGGTGCCTTAGGGGCAATCATCTGCGCCAGTGTATAAAAAGAAATTTGCAATTTTTACAGTAGCGAGGAGAGCTTATGGACAATCCATTAGGATTCCGGCGGCTTTTGCCACTTATGATCCGTGTTCACAAGAGCGAGACGGTTCAATGTCTTACAATGTTCAAGCAGCATTCTTGCCGGAAGGATTTTTTAGGAAGCCCGGACACCTACCGAACATCCCTGAAGGATGGAACAACATGATGAAGAAGGCGGCGAAAGTGTAGAGGAAAATCTGGGAAGAGAACAAGGAGATCTCTGAAAAGGGGAGGCAAGGAAGTAGTAGAAATGTTGAAGAGGAGACAACCCGCTCTTGAACTTAAGACTATGCGCGTCGCGTGCTCGATCTAGCAATTGTTTTGATGAACTGTCATTCAAAAAGAAAGAAGAGAAAGCAAGTACACGATAGCTATCGATAGCTCTTCCATCACCCTATAACGCACCCTCTCTGAAAGTAAATCCTTTGCTAAAGTGCTCAAGGGGCTTAGTCGTGCAATTCGTCGTGAAAAGAGGAAGTCTCCCTTAGCTAGGGATCTACCATACCTAGTTCAAATTTAAGCTGGTGAAATGCTACCTTACTTGTGTTTTATGACTATCTTTCCTCCTTTTTCATGCTTTCTTGAATTTAAAAAGAACCTAACATCTTAAGATCGGACGACGGAGTTGAACTCTAGTTTGAGGATGGATTCTCTATGAATAGAAATAGAGGACTTTTCTATCTAAACTTTAGGCCCTCAGGAAAATGGTAGGCTAATCCATTTAATGAAAGTTATGCCAATTGAAACTCGTACCAAAAGGCAGGAGCGGTAATCAGCTGTCCTTGTTCTCCTCTTTCCTTCCGATGAAGGGATCTTGCTCGCTTTTCTCTAAAGGGCTAGTCCTGGTTCTGTTAAGGGCCTAGTTCTGGACTTGCTCGACCAAGTGTTAAAGGTTGGAAGTAGATTCTAGTGTGAATGCTGGAGTTGGCGCTCAATGGAGCTCTTTCTCGCCCTCTCTATAAGAGAGATAGGATCACCTAAGTCTCGTTATGGATTGATGGCTAAAGGAGCGTCTACCCTTCTTTCTATGCTCATTTGGTAGAAAAAGTCAGAATAGAAGAATTTAAGGGCTCGTTCTTCCTGGCTTCCAGGCTCCTGCCTTTCCACGAGCAAGTTGACTTAGTCTAGTCGACCAGCAGTAGAGGAAGGGAAGGCTTGACACTACGAATGGGGTAGTTTACTAAGTCAAGAGGTGACTAGCGTTGTTAGCAAGTGAATCAGAAGCAGTTGCAATAGGACCAAGGGCGCGCTTTAACTCAAGGGTACACTTTTCTCCTTCCAGGATTTGCAGGAGTTTCCTTTCGAAGGCCTTTTAAGAACCTACCCTTGATCCACTGGTGGATATGAATCATACAACTAAGCCTCTGTTCAATTGATATCAAAAGAAAGATGAATTTCGTTAAAGAAATATATGCTAGAGATAACTTTCCCTCTCTTCACTCCTTGTTGGATACTATCAGTGGAAAGCAGTCTAACTCCTCTGGAAATGACAGCCAACCAAGATAGGGAGTCTGGAACCAGCAAGCACTTAGGAGAGGAAATGAGATTTCGAAGCCCTATCTTTTCTCTTTAACTAGAGAGGTAGGTAAACCTGAGTTTAGAGCCACCTCGATTCGGGATGTCAGAACACCAACCGAATCCTAAACTGACTTCGGAACAGGTTCGAGAGCTTCTCGATCGAAAGCCTTTCCTATCTAGTGTCAGCTGATCCTTCAGTGTCTGCACCAACTAAATCGGAAGCTTAATTCGAAAGACGATAGTAGGCTCGAGGGGGGTCAAAAGAAGGATTCTCGGTCCCCTAAAATAAGAAAGCTGGTTAGACTGCAATGTATGCCTATGGAAAGAAAAGTAACGAAAAAGCGATCCATATGATCATAATAAAGAATTGCATATACGTCTTTTAAAACAAGAATGTTGCTGGCTCAGGATCCAACAAAAGCTTTCTCTCTCCCAATCAACGATAATCTCAGTAGCGCGAACTATAGTAACAAGGCTCTAGCCAACCTAGTGGAGTAAGTGGAGGACGTTGATAGACGATTTGGTCTACTACCTCGGCTTGATCTATTGGGACTGGAATTCATTTTTCGTCTTTCACGGATTAGCCTTTCGAGTCCCTCCTATCGTAAGCAAGTCTTGAAGGTCGACCGATAACGAGAGGAGATTGATCAATAGAGTTGCAAAGAAATGATGAACTAAAGTAAAGGAGCCAAAGAGCAGCAGCGCGCCGAACAGGCGACCCTATACCGAAGTCTCCACCTCGCCTATGGATTGAACCTCTTTCTTCTCCCGTCGATGGAATGAGTGAGTGTAGTGGTGCGAGCATCACTCTGAAATGGAATATTATCAAAAGAATGAAGCTAGAGAATTGCGTAGATATGGTGAACTCTTCTTCTAGCAGCCCTATGTCCTCTACCGAAGGAAGGAACTCGGCTTGGAAGCAAGTCGGTCAATCTCGTAAGTAGACTTTCCTTTTCCTGTACAGCTAGTAGGCGGATAAATTAACTCGTGAAAAAAAAAGAGCGTAATATCGAGGGAAGGACCAGTCCCCGACTAACTAATAGGGATTGAGGCAAGGGAAGTAGCTCTTACGAACCCTTTAGTCTAAAACTAAGAGATTCTTTATGCTGTTACCTGAAGTTCAAGGATTAAAGGGGAAGCGAAAACAGGCCTGTGTTCAGCATATAGCTAGCCTTCTTCTCTTATCTAATTGTTGCTCCTTCCCCTGTCTACTATTCGCGGAGCTGATCCGTCTCAATCAAACTATCTAAATTAATTAGGAAATTCTTTTGAAACCAATTCAAAAAAAGTGGGATAAGATGGCCTGCGTCCTAATACAAAATAGTAGAGGTTTCCTAGGTTCGACACAAGCAAATCTAAAAGACGTATAGGAATGTCCATCAATAAACCTTATACGCTTGCTTTACGCGAGCAATGAATGAGGATGCGCGTTACTAAGGCTTTAAGCTTGAGCTCTTGGAGTTGCGGGAGTCTGCAGTTTCCCATGCTTGTCTTTGTTAGCGATCGAACCATCTCGAAAGCACTAGGATCCGGATCTGTCTTATTGACCGGCTTTGGTCGAGCTACCGCTACATTTCTGGAACGGCCACAGCCTACATTACTTGTCTCCCTCTTCTCAAGGAAGTTAGTCTCAGACCGTATGTAGTTCTCGGTCCTTTTTTATACAGTTCCTGACAGGTGCTTGCTCTTCACTCCAGCCCTGAAGTATTCTGCGAGCTCCTTCTGTTTAAGTGGGCCCTTGGTCAAGCAAGGAGCTTTTCTGGAAAAAAAAAGCAAAAACGCATCTTGTGTCAGGTTAAGAGCTTAGTGGAACCCTATTTCTTCACTTGTAGTCTAGGGCGTTGCTTGGCATTGGGCTTTAGTTAAGCCTATATCCATTTCAGAATAGGATCTTTTATGTAGCCCAACTCTTTGAATTTTGATAGATCCGGAGGACAGGACCTTGGCCTTCTTGCATAGACTTGGGCTTGCTTTGATGATGGGTAGGCTTGTCGTGCTTTTGCCCCCTATCTAATCAGGGGGCTTTCATCGAGGCTGGAAGACCAAGATGCGAATCACATGCTTATCAAATTTAAAATTGAATCATTTTCAGGGTTTCAGAGATAAGATAGTGAGGCTTTACCTATACGAAGAATAGTCCTTCCCTATAGTACTGGCTGGGGCTACTAGGCAATCGGACTTTTCCCACTACCGGGATGACTATTTACTTCCTTACTTAAGGACTTAATGATCCAGGGAGGAAGCAAGTCTAGAGAGAAGCATAAAATAAATAAGGTATAGAGCACCCTACATACATACCTTGCTCAGAGAGAGGCAAAGACAAGTGCTGTTGAGGTACCGGTTCAACCAAGTGCCCAAGCAGCAACAATAACTTAAATACGGCTGAAGACATATATTTAACCCGGGCCCAGAAAAAAATCAGACATTAAGTCCAAAGATCCAGGGTAGGGATGATTGACACGTTGATTTAAGTACCCCTTAAATGAGATGGTAGGTTCGTATGTTTTTGTGAAAGCTCGGCTCCTGTTATTGCTGATGTCCAGTCATCCACATTTTAATTCCTTGGAAAAGAAGGCTAACTGCTTGTTGGCTGGGAGCGAGCGGTAAGTCCATTAGTTCGATGATTCTTCTTCGCCTTTATTTAGAAGGCTTGTTCAATAAATCTCCTAAACAAAAAGTAGGAATTTTATAATCAAACGACCTAACTTATTGTTTTGTTCACGCTCTAAGGAAGTGACTTGTTCAGCCTCTGCTGTTCTTGTTTACGACTCTACTGCTATTGATTAATCCGCTGGGATTGGAATGCTTGACTTGCTTTCAAAGCCTTTCCTTTCTAGGCTAACTCTTAACTAAGTCCCAACAACGGCTAGCGAAGAAACTGTAGGGCTTAAGGCAGCGAATGACCTGAGGGGAGGCAACTCAATAGAATAATTAAGCAACCTGGCTTAAAGTCTAGGACTTCCTAACTGCTTGATTTATAAGTCTTATTTGTTTTTTAAGACGAGAATGAATCGCATATGTTGGTTGAGAATTACTCGGGAATTCTTTTATAGTTACTTTTCCAGAGGGGGCTACTCTTCTTTTTTGTCAATCGAGCCGCTTTCCCTCATTCCACTCGTCCAGCCTCTTCGCGAACTTGTACAATCGATGCCACAAAGATAGTCAACTCAATTATCGAAGAAATAAGGAAACGGGCGACGATTTGGCACCAGATATCCGGAGGTGTGGAAAGAGCAGCGGTGAGAAGCAGAAAAACCATCAAAAAACGACGATTGTTCGTGAAGGTTTCCACAGAAAGACCCATTGGTTCTGGCAAATAGATCACAATTACAGGTACCTGAGAGCATACCGATGGAATGAACGAAATACGAACAGTTAGCATAATATGGTCATAGATCTTAGGTTGTAACTTGATCATGAGCGAATTTGTTGATGTTGCACCCACGAAGTATAGAAAGTACCAAACATTGGGAACTACCCGGGGAAGTGTTAGGAACAGGAACAAGGAGAAACGAGAACCACTTAAATAGAGGAATCGATTGTATTTCCTCCTTTGTTCCCCATAGCAACTGGGGTTCAAAAAGCACCAAATTTGATGACTTATTAAGGGAAAGACGAAGTAAGAACATGCTATTGAAGACGTTGCAACATATGTCGGGGAGGCCTCCGTTGATTGTGTACAAACAAAATACGAGTCCAAAGACAGGGTAAGAAAGGGTTTAGCTAATGGAGATATTAACTCTTCCGGGAACCAGTAACGCGTAAACCATGTCAAACCAAGACCGATCAATATTCGAACGGAACGGATTCGAACTTCTCCTAGAATAGTTTCCGGTGCGAAATTAAATTAATACATAGGATATATATGAGTAATTCAAAGGATAAATATTTATATTTGATAGGATTAAGGTAGCGGTAGCATATTGGAAGAGGAACTAGCTTTGACTTTCGCTATCTGATTTGAAGTGCGAAAGCTCTTTCAAAGAATAGCTGTTAGAGAAGAGATAGATCTTACGTAAGCCAAAGGCTATTTAAAGAGCTTCTATTTCACCAACTGCGTCTACGCATTCACCAAAAATAATTGGGACCGGGTAGACATGAAGTCAAGTAATAGCCCCCACGACAATTATCATTGCCTTCACCACCAACTACTCGTACTCCCATACCGGTAACACCAGTCAAGAAGGTAAGGCAGATTCTATAGCTGTTGATTCTAGCACACCGGAAACCCTCATAGTAAGAGTGGATAAGCTTACACCGGTTAATTGAAGACTTTACCATTCTCGATGCAGCGGGAACGCTCACTCGCACCAACGGATACTGTCACAGCTAATTGAAGTGCTAGTCCAGCAACTGCAGTTGTCTTTCTGTTTGCAATTGAATCACTAAAGTTGGAGGGTGCTATTGACTCAGCCGTAGATGGGATTCATACTAAGGCAAGCTCTTGAAATGAAACCCAAACAATGGGGAAGGGATAAGAGGGAAGACACTCATCTGCAGATTGGAGACCAAGGGTCTTTCCAGGAGGCTCGGGTGAGAGGGGTGTGATGAATAGAGATTTCCCACCAGCAGCTTCTCCTATCACTTTACTTCTGCAGGCGCTGGATCTTAAGGGAAATGCCCGGATCCATATTATATAAGATAAGGATTTCGGGTAGTGAGAGAACCGAGCTGGGCCGAGCAAGTCCTCACTCGAAGAAGCAGACTGGCCGGCTTAAAGGCAAGTTGAAGTCGAAAAGCCTTAGATGACTCTTTCGAGAAGGACTTCCCGGATTCGGAAGTAGCAGTCCCTCTATTCCAGTTGCAAAGAAAGGAGTAGCCTTTTGTTTTGAAAGGCTTGCTATACTAGATTGCTTGCGTCTATGATCGAACTTGAAACTAGCCCGAGAGGTAGAGCACAGCGTAAGGGAGAGAGTGAGGGTGGAACCTGTAATGTACCAACGAGGAAAATTGGAAACAGTACCTAAACCTCTCCTCAGATCGTGAGGGAAGTTCCGCTCCCGAACCATCCAGCGGCCAACAAAGTCCTGCTTTCCAAACCCCACCGATGGACCTGCTAGCTTCACAGCAAGCTCTTGCTCCAGCGGGCCCCTTAGGTGGTGCATCCTCCTCTTCCTCGTGGAGTGGCTCGTGGATAGATAAGTGGTTTTTTCCAGAGGAGGGGTCATCTTCGGACCCAAACCAGGAGGAGCCCCTTGCTACGAATCAACCAACCGAGGTCATGGGGTCGGAAGCTCCTAGTCCTTCATGGTTAAAAGAAAAGATTCAGAGAATCTTCTATATTATAAAAGGGCGGAGAACCTCCTCCACAGTTCTAAAGAAACTTTGTCCGGAGGATCTGAAGCTCGAAAGAGCTTCCCCAGGGAAGCGACTCAGAATCCTTAACATTCTAGAAGATATGGTCGAACATAAAGATTAATTGAGGAATTCCAAACTCCACATCGAGTTAGCTGTGAGAATTGCCGATTGGGAGAAAGATCAAAGGGACTGACTTTGTAAACGAACACATCGAAGAACCTAATGGATCGGGATTGGTATATTTATTTTTTTTCCGGGACACATCTCCGTGCGCCCTGGTCGGGCTGACAGGTTGGTTTTTGGCGCCAAAAACGGAGGGAGAGAGAAAAATATCTCGTTAGGTCTTGGTATGGTTGCCGCGGGTTGTCGTCGGCCCGACGGACTTTGGGAGAAGAACCCCTTCTCCCCCCGGATGTAGTCTTCATTAGTCTTGCCTTTTGTCGAGGACGAACCGAGTTATCAAACGATCAGAAAGAAATCCGGACCATGCATCTGGAAAGCGCTGGTGCAAGCCCAGCTCGTGACCCAGGAACTCCCCCTTAAGGTGCATTCCTGCCTTTTCCTTCTGCCTTTGCTACCGACGGGGTATTCCCGTCTAAATAATTTCATCCTTAAGCTGGATAGCCTTTAGGCTTAGTTAGTTAAGAGTAATCCCCCCTTGCACCTATTCTACTCCGAAGTAAAGAAAGATCACTCCTAAAAGCTGCCTTTCTCTTATATACTCAACCACTCGCCATCAAGAATATTATCCCCAACGATAAAGGCACGGCAGGTTTCGTAGATAGAGTACATGAGTCGACTTCTCCTCTTATAGTATTCTTAGTTAACGTTAGAGAACTGGATTATCTGAGCATCGTCTATCTAATAGAGTCATAAGCTGGATCTACTGCTTAACCAAATGAGTCCTATTTAGGAGGTAGTATAGACTTCTGGACCCGAAGACTCAGATGAGTATGCCTCATATGTCTTCGGCAAAGTCGAGTTCTTTTCTTCTTCATCAGGGAAACTGGTCAATCAGGCTCTACAAGACCTCTACCCCAACTGAATCTATGTTAGCTCTAAACCACGTTATCAAGAATCATTCAACACCCATCAATAGCCATGCTATCTCAGTAGCTAACCGGCCATAATTATGGATCCAGATTTGAAATAAAAAGGTGGTGGTCGGGACGGGAATCATAAGAATCACCTGCAACGTCAACGACTGGATCAATTGCTTAATCGACTGAAAGGGAGGAATCTCGTTAGACTGGAACGGGCTATTGATTGGATTTAGAAAAGAGAGTAGGTCCCCTTTTTTAGGTAGGCAAGAAATGGGATAATAGATCTTTCTATCTTACGCAAGTTCTGCTTTATCCTTCTTTCGTTCTGAGGCTTTCTTCTCTTATTTATTTTAGTTAAGACATTTTTCTAAAAGGTTAGCTGAATAGCCTGTAGCAGAGTGGATTTACGGTATCCCCCCTCCTCTCTCTTATCTTAGAGTGCAAAAACCAAGAGCAATTGACCCACGGGCAAAGGCGTAGGAAGCACAGGTCAAAGAAGCAGCACTCGCCGCAGGAGATCGAACAGATCCGGTTGGTTGATTCAAGTCTAAGTAGCATAAAAAAAAGCGAGATACAGTGGTTTATCCCCATTGACCGAGTGAAGTAACAGCAGGCATGGCATCATAGGCAAAAATAAAAAAGGCCTTGATTGACACGTACGTAGGTTCTGGTGGGAACATAGACATCTCACTCCGTGCTATGAACGAAGGAGCGCGTAAATCATTCATTCTTAGGCCTCGCCTAAACACTCACTCCCACAACGAATAGAGAGTCACTATGGCTAGATCAAAAGAACGCACGAAAGGAATAAATCTACAAAGACTGATGGTTGAGAAAGAACTATATAGATTGGTGAGGCTACCGGCTCTGTTGCTGATTCAACTCAATCGACAGATGAAACCAGCTCAGATGCTGCCTCCCCCTTATGGTGCTGCTCCTGATTCTCGGTCAACTAAATCAATGGCCAACTACTGACTGAGTCAATGTAAACTGGATCAATAGGAAAAAGTTGCATTCCGTTCCGTCAGAGGTTTATATTTTATATAGATCTCAATCTCGCTTTCGAACCAAAGAAAGACTATGGCTATAAAAACAGTAACTGCCGCAAACTACAGTTTGTTCCGTAATTTTATGGTGGTGCTTAGATAATCACTGATGCTGGTTTAGAAAAAAATTATTAAAATGGAACTGGAACTCGGTCTCAATCTGTGGGGTAGGGATCTCGAAATGAAATAGGGTTCCTTGAGCGCTTTAAGCTGGATTTGATTTGAATTCATATTATTCTAATGTGCTACCACCTTTGTTCTTGTTTCTCCTTCGGATCTTTGGCTATCTCGGATGCTCTTACTAAGGGATATTGTAACATCACTCCTAGGAACTAACACAGATGTCGGCACCTCATTAGGGGAAAGACTAAAACATACCGGCCATTTCTATTCATTTCCCACCATTGCATTTTTTTTCTTTCACGAACGAATCCATCTTATCAAACATCATTTCCCGAGCCGGGCATGAGCTACTCCCATCTAGCCAATCTCGATTTGGGATCTTAGCAGTTGCCCTTCTTTCTACTGGGTATGAACTCAAAGAATCTCCTGGACAACCCCCCTATCTTGTAAGGCCAGCTTCTGTGGCTTTCCCTCATTACAGAGAGGCTTTCGCTTAGCAACCTTTACCATAAGCGAAATCTTAATTGGTGATCTCAGTGAAATTAAGGGAATTCGAAAAAGACTCTAGGATCTTATACTGTCTTGAATCCAGGATTTTATTCCTTCGCTCCCTCCAGCTCTCTAGTTCTCTTCCTTCGGCTCTCTTTTTAGGTATTCCACTAGTGTCTATTCACCCATCTCTTAAAAAGTCTAACTCGGGGAAGGGAATAATTTATTTAAGAACAACGTTCGTTTAACTCCGAAACGAGCCCTAGAAGAGGATCCTATCCGCTCATGGAAGCTAGTCACACAGCTCTAAAAATTAGAACTCAAGAAAGAATGAATAACTGCTCCAACTCCATAACTCACTAACCACAAAAACAGAGAGAAGCAACTCGGAACGGCAAGTTCGAACTGAAAGAGCTACTGAACTAACTAAACAATAAGAAGTTAAAGAGGAAGAGTAGTTTTTTAAGCAGATAGTCATCTGAACTACGTACACCCAAGTCTTCCACTCGTCCGCGCTTCCCTAGTGAGTGAGGGTCGATAAAAATTATCATCATTCTATCGAATGAAATTAGTACACCTGGTGAACCATGCCCGACCCTTTTGTATAAAAAAGAGAGATAATCCCCTCAA